AAAAAAAAAAAAAAAAAGGAAACCCAGTAGAAAGCTGAACCACACCAAATACATTTTTAATAAGTTTGCCTGTATTTATTTTTTACCTATATACCAGTGATTCTCAACTGAGGTTGATTTTGTCCACCAGGGGACATTTGTCAACATCTGGAGGCATTTTTGAAGAGGAATGTTACTAGCATATAGTGCATAGAGGGCGGGGATGCTGCTGAACATCCTACAATGCACAGGATAGCTCCCCACAGCCAAGACATTTATGCAGCCTAAAATGTCAATATTGCAAGGTTTAGAAACTCTGCTTTGGGCCAAGTCTGTTCCTATTATAGTTTCCTTGATTTCTCTTGAAGTTTTTCCTTAATTTTATGTTGTAAAATATGTTAGGTGACTACATCAATAAGTACTGCATAAATTTCCATTAGAAATAATGTAAAAGTACATATGCGTATAATCCAAAAACTTATGGTATACTTTATTTAAACTCTTGACCAAAATGTGATTTTTTTTTCTCCTTTTTATTCAACCCTGTATTTCTACCTTTTCCTGGGGAAAAAACTTAATAAATCTTGAGACTTAATAAATACTGTATAAAATGTTCACTTAATCAATTTTCTTACTTAGAAGGAAAAAAAGGAAAATTTCCTACTTTGTAGGAATTAGTTTTTGCTCAGTAATTTGGTGTAATAGTAGTTTTTCACAAGTTGCCTAATCAGAATCACCAGGGAACTTATTTAAAAGACTGATAACTATATCCTTCCATTAGAAATTATAATTCAAAGAAAAAAATAGTAATAAGTTATAATTCAGCAGAACTGGAGTCCCCCAAGTCTCTGTTAGGCACACCTTGTGATTCTTATGATTAGTTTGATAAGACCACATTTACAAAAGAAAAGACTACATTTATAGAAGTCAAGGAGTAAAGCAAAGATGAACATTCTTATTAAATTGTTTGTAACATTTGTAACAAGTTTTACTATTTACCAAAATTGATGGTTGATTTTTTTTTTAATATTGTAAACACTGTTTTTACTCTATGATATCCAAAAAGTTAATTGACTTGCTAATATACTACCTTTTGTCTTTTTTCCTTTTTTTTTTTAAAGCTGTTTGGTGTGTTTTGGGCTGCCTACAGTGCTGCTTCATTGTTAGTGGGTGAAGAATTCAAGACCAAAAAGCCTCTTCTGATTTATCCAATCTTTTTATTATACATTTATTTTTTGTCTTTATATACTGGTGTGTGATCCAAGTTATACACGAATAGAAAAAGATGGTGTTACATTTGTGTGTAGGCTGGGAATTCTTGCTGAAGGAATTGGTGAAAACCTGTTGCTGGTAAAATTTTAAATGTTCCAAATGGAAAGGGAAGTTTAAGTGCTTTTTACAACAATTTTTTTTTTGTATTTAATTAAGCCATTGCAGTTATCTGGGATTTTTGGGTCAGAATTTTAAATTCTGTTTGATTCTCCATATTCAAATGAATAAAATACAAAAGCATTGTGTTTTTAAGATTGTGTCAATATTCACCTAAAAGCTTATGCCAAAAGCACCTGGATTGGTAATTTTATTTCATTTGAAGGGTAAATTTGACAATGTCCTGAGAATCTAAAGTGCAATTTTTTTTCTTTAAAATGTTTTCTCCAGCATCACAGATCCTGCAGATATATATTTATATTTATACATATATATTTATGAAATAATTATTCACAAAATGTATTTCTGAATAGATTAAACATTAGGATATTAAATCTGATGCTTAAACTTTTTTTCATTTGGCCATTAATCTTTTTTGTTTAAAAATTTAAATTTGTTTTTAAAATTGTATATAATTTTTAAAATCTCACACATGCTTCAATACTTCCTTGTTAAGAATTCTTAATAACTACTAGAACTGATTTTAATAGTTGCTGATATTATTTGGTTTGTTTGGGTGTACTTTTTAAAACCATTTTTGAATGTCCAAACATCTGATTTAAAGTTTCTGTTTATCTTTCTGTTCAGAGGAGCAAAAGGTATAATGAATATGGCATTCATTAAAATCATTATTCTGTACAAAAACAGTAATATTTGCAGCATCAGTAAATATTTTTAAGTGGTGCTTCTAAGTCATAAAAGTTGCAGAAAGAGACCTTTAAAATCCTGTGGTCTTGAACAATGTTATATGGTGTAGAAAAAAAATAAAATACTTCCACTTGTGTGTTTTTTTTATAGCACCATGCCCTGTATTACTTGATATTTTAACAAGTATCAGGCACTCTCTTAACAAATGTACAGTTTTTGCAAAGGGAAATAGTAAGAAGTAATTTTATCAGTGAAATTTTGGTTGCAAATAATTTCATAAGTTTTTAGATGTGCCTTTAGTTAATATTACTTTATAAAGTCTTTTAAACATTTTATTTATGTCCATAAAATAGCAAATGTCTGTTAACTATTGGCAAATTATTGTATTATCCTTTCTGGTCTCATCTGGAAGAGTTTGCTGCTGTCCTCAGTGTGATAACATGGCGACCTCTTGGTATGTATTTCTTTAGCAAACTTACCCATCAGGCAATATCCAGCACCTCTGAAGCAAGCCTACAAATGAACATGTTATCAAGACCACCCCTCTTCCTTTCCCCGATCCCAAAAGGAAAGAAAGAAAGAAAAACTTATTTTAAGCTGCAGAAAAAGTGTAGAGCACCGTTGAGCTAGAAAAATGTAGATTACACGTACTGATTTTTTTTTCAAAACAGATGAGAATCACCAAAGGGATAGGACTTCTAGAAGTTAGAATAACATGAAGCAATCAGGAAAGATCTATGCCTACAGAAGCAACAAATGTAAGATAAACATTTGTTATACTTCAGAAATTGCTGAGGTTAGTACTTTGTTATAATGGAGAATTATATTTGACGTTCATAGTGTTGACCCTGGAATCTTTCACAAAAAGCTTGGGGGTCAGGACCAGGAGGTAGAATTTTACAAGCCATTAAATGAAGGTATTTTAGGATCACCTCTATTAAAAAATGGTTTTTTAAAACTGTTATTGCTTTAAGGTATGAATTTTAAAAATCACTTATATGGATGTTTACTCCTAATGATATAAGATAAAATTTTTGTTCTAAAAAGGTATTTTAAAATAGCATTTAATCTTGGGAACTATCTTATTTTAGGGTATCTATAAATACAAATTACATTGTTTCAAACTCAACCAATATCATCTTCCTGTGCTAATGAGCAAAGTGGTTAGAACAGATTGTCAGTTTAAAAACATGATTTGTA